GGCAACAACCTCATCTCTTGGTCCTCCAAACGACAGGTCACTACTTCTCGATCGAGTGCGGAGGCCGAATATCGAGCTGTCGCAAATGCCGTCGCCGAAACGACTTGGTTACGCAACCTACTTTCTAAGTTGTTCTGCCCACTTTCGAAAGCCACTATTGTCTACTGTGACAACGTCAGTGGTGTCTACCTATCCAGCAATCATATTCAACACTCTCGTACGAAACATGTGAAGATCGATATTCACTTTGTCCGAGACAAAGTTGCTTTGGGACACGTTCGAGTTCTTCACGTCCCATCCGCCTACCAGTTTGCCGATATCTTCACGAAAGGACTTCCTACTCAACTGTTCCAACAGTTTGTCTCCAGTCTCCACGCCCTCTCCTTTCCCGCCTACCAGTTTGCCTATATCTTCACGAAAGGACTTCCTACTCAACTGTTTCAACAGTTTGTCTCCAGTCTCCACGTCCTCTCCTTTCCCGTTTCGACTGCGGGGGTGTATTAGCGTGCGTAGATAGTTGTCCGATTTCTCATACAAAAATTATTATTTTACAACGAGTTGAAAACTGTACAACCTTGCTATTTAATATGTCATAACCTTGCCATGTAATATGTCATGAGGAGTTTTAGCAAGTAACGTTAACTATTAACTAATTTTATATGCCGCCTTAATTAATTTACAGTAGAATCAAGGGGCTTGATCCCGGGCTGCTTGGGTTGTTTAGAAGAGTACTAACCATTGTGGCAAATTAACTTGTCATTTTAATAATCCTAACTATAAATATATAAATATAATTAACAATGTAAAATGATTATAATAATTGTATAACTAATATTTAATAAATTATTAATTATCATATTCACTATTATTAATATTAAAAATTTCCAGTAATAACAAATGCATATATATTTAATTTTGAAAAATATAAAAATTACGATTTAATTTAAAAGAACCATTGAATTTTGATTTTTTTTGGATTTTGAAATTTTGAAAAATTTCTCAATTATTATTTTCACCTATAAATACCCCTAGTCCAATCTTTACAACTTTCATTTTATTTAATTTATGTCTCAAGGTCTTAATTGCTTCATTTTTTTTCTAAAATTGTTTAGTGTTTAAATTTTTATTTTTTTTAACTTGGAATTTAAAGTTTATCTCAAGTTTTTTCAAGTTTCAATGTAATTTTTTTTTCTTTCGTGTAATTATTTAGAAAAGAAAAATAAAAAAAATTGAAAAATCAGTTTGGACCCGGACCCGGATGGACCCGAGTGAACCCGCCTCCCTATGGGTCGGTTTGGGTCCCCTAAAAGTTGTACCCGGACCCGGACCCGACTCAGCCCGTGGCATAGTCTAATCTAAAGTATATATATTCCATAATATGGGGAAATATGCAATACCCCCCTCAATGGAAAATATTTTGAACTAGACCCAATTGACTTTTAAAGATTTTTCCTACATCCAAATTTCATTTTTAATTAGTGACTGTGAGAAGAAAAATATACCTTCAACCACTATAACCCTAATTATTTGCCCACCTCTATTACTTTTTGTTATATGTGTGTGTGTATTTTGAAATGGGAACGAACAAAATTTGGACAGAAGTTTGACAAGAAAAATGTAGTCGAGACAAGTACTAGGTTCTTTCTGGTTAAGACAAATTTGCCCCGTACAGTGCTCTCGGTTTACGGCAATCGTCTCCCAAGATACAACGACTATTTCAGTTCCAACAAAGTAGCACACCAATTATTGAAACACGGCGAACGAAACGACGTCGTTTAGGACTTTATAAGACACGAAGAAATGGACTTGATAAATGCAACAGTATGCAATGTTATGCTATGACGAGAAGTGAATTCAATTAATGTATTGAATTCCATGTCAAATATGAATTAATCAAATGGTGGATTTTGGAATCTATTTATAGATTTTCAAAGGTTATGACCACAAGTCACAATTCTTAGGAAAATAATTTCATGAAAAGGTATCACACATTTTCTCATTAACTACACATCTATTCAATTTAATAGGTGCTTAAACACCTCCATCTTTTTCAATGGTGGCATTTCACTTTATTATTTTCCACACTTAAATATTTTAAATGATCCATTAATTTATCATTCATCAAAAATTAATGTTGCGAATTTAAATTAACCACTTAAATATTCAACAAAATTTGAGTCAAATACTCAAAATTTCCAACACTTTTATCTTCTCCCTTCTCCACCTCTCCACCTCAATATCTCAACTCTCTCCGAAAATTCCGATATTCCTCCACCGCCGATGTCGCCACCGCCGTCGCCGCCGCCGCGCCACCGCCGCTCATTGTCGCCGCCACTTCCTCCTTCGTCACCACATTCCTCTCTTGTTCGTTATCTCTCTCGATTTCTCTCACATTACACCACCATCGTCTTCACATAGATCTCTACACCACCATCGGCGCCGCTCGTTGCCGCCGTCGCATTCTTCGTCTCCAGGTAAAGTATTTTTCTCTTTTTCGTTATATCTCTCTATTTCTCAGTTTTTTTTTCCAGATCTGTCCACCACCACCACCGTCGTCGCCTCTATCACTCTAGCTTTCGTTCACTGCCGTTGTTGTCGACTCCCCCTCCCTCTCTTTCGTTATATTTCTATCTCTATTTCTGTATTTTTCGATTTCTCTTTTTTTTTCTCCAGATCTAAAATAGCAACATTAAAATGACTATAGTCATATTCGAATATTCTTTTTTCTCCAGATCTGAACTAGAAGCAGTAACATGACTATAGTCATATTCGAATATGACTATTGTCTGAATATGACTGTAGTCATATTCGAATTTGAATATTGTCGAATATGACTGTAGTCATATTCAAATATATTTTATCTTTTCGTTTCAAATTGCTTGTAATAACAACATTCAAATTGTGATTTTTTTGTGTGGATGTTGATTGGATTGTTTTCGTAAACAATAGGCAATCTTCGTTGTTTTATATAATTTTGTAAACATGACTGTACCATACTATATAATTGGAATTTTTCAATTGAAAATGTAAAAAATTGCAATATAAAGAAAGATTGTAATTACATTTGATATAGTCACATATAGTCATATTCAACTATAGTCATATTCGACATAGTAAACAAGTGGAGAAAAAAAATTCAATTTTTTGTTTAAAAAAAATTAAATAAAAAATATTTTTATTAAAAAAATATTAAAAAATAAAAAATAAAAAATATGCGAAATAAATCTGAAATAATAAAAATTAAAAAATTCAATATTTTTTTTTTTATTTTGTAGTAGATTTTTAGGAATTTGGAAGCAAATTTTTAGGAATTAGATTGTTGTTATGGAAAGAGAGAAAAAAATGAATAATTGATATAAGAGTAGTATTGGAAATATAATTTTTAGGGGTTATTACAAAGAAAGATTTAAGGGATGAACATATCACCATTTATTAGCTATATATGAAGCTTATTGATAATGAGCCCATATAATATATATGTTCATAATTAGACGACATTCACATAGACAAGTTGTATATATAATACATGAAAACTATGAAAAAGTAGAAACGATAGCTGTAGATCAATGATCTTAGACGTGTGCAAGTAAATAATTATGAACTTCGCTGAATATTTTGGAATTTAAAAGTTTTAATGATCAGGATCCAATGTGAACAAAGGAATGATTTATTTTCAGAATTACCAAAAAGAAAAAGGAGATGTTGAGAAACCAATTTATGTCCAAAGATTTTAATTTGAAATAGAAAAAAGTCCAAGCGTACGTCAAGTTGCTAGCAGATAGGATCGGCAATTGAATAGAGCCTAATTTTAATGAGTCGGATCGAGTTTGAACAATTTTATTACATCCATTTCATTTATGAGTCGAGTTGGAACTATGGATCAACCCAAATAAAGTCGGCAATTCTATTAAGTTAATAATTAAATAAATAATATATTTATTATTTTATTTTAATAAAATGACTCAACATTTAGAAAAGAGTTATGAGTACATCTAGAATTACTTCTACTTTTTTTATTTTTCTTCATTTTGGACTCTAATTCATTTTTGGTCATATAATTGCTTGAGGATTAAACATTTACAGTCACTTAAACTTCATTTGTTTCAAGGACCATACTATGGTTTTCATCTTATTTTGCGACTATCGTTTTTTTCTTCCTTATTGCTCGTCATAAGTATTCTAGATCTTGCTCTTCTGTTGCGAAGGTTTCTCTTCTTTCTTTTTTTTTTTTTTTTTTTTTGAAAATGTTAGGTTTCAAAGTTATAAAGTATGTAATTTATATATTGTTCGATATAAGCCAGTATAAACTCGAAGCCCGAAAAAATACTCGAAATTTTGATTTTTATTCCTACAATCAACTCCAATAATCCAAAAATTTGAGGGACCAAAGACCAGAAAACATGTGAACAAAATTATGGTAATTATTAATTGTTTTTAGTTTTCTCAAACCAATACAAAATTCCAGACACAAAAGAACAATGGTCCATAACCCGTGACCTAAACATTTGGTCTTTTGCCAATTTTCAAACAGCCCTAATTAATGTCACATTTCCTTCCAAACAGACACATCCATTTGATTTCAAGAAAACACCATAAAAAATAAAAAAATAAACATCTCATTATCTACTACATGCATGGTCAAAGTCACTAGACCAGTGAAGTCAAAAGGCTAGGGGAATCTCCAAAACCAAAACGGGAAAATTACTATTTTCGTCCCTCAAGTTTATTTCGATTTTACATTTGGTCCATTTGTTCACAGAAAAAAAGAAAAAAAAAAAAGGGAAACAAATTTAGTCGTTCGTGTTTCAACAAATTAACATTTTTTGCTTTTTCCGTCAATTTTTCGTTATTACTAACAGAATCAAGCATGTGCCCATAATTTGACAGAAATGACCAAAAGTGTTGCATTGTTGAAACTTGATTCATGAATGACTAAATCTATTTTTCTTATGAACAAGAGGACGAAATGTGAAATTATGATAAACTTGAGGGACAAAAGGTGTATTTTTCCCAAACCAAAACTATACCAAACCAACTATCCATAAGAAAAGAAGGAACTGTTACAAATTTCATATCCTCTCATAACTTTACTATTTTCCAATTTATTCTAAAAAATGGGAATTTCTTGGTTTATGCTATTCTTCATTCTTTTCTTCTCTTCATTTAATCAAACTTATTCAGCAAATGTTGGGAACTCAGATTTGATTCAGCAGACATGCAAAAACACAAAATACTACGAACTGTGTGTTTCCTCGCTGAAATCCGATTCGTCGAGCCAGAGAGCAGACACCAAAGGGCTGGCACTAATCATGGTTAAGGTTGGAATGGCGAATGCCACTGCCACAAATTCTTACCTCTCATCACAGATGCTGAAAAGTGTCACAAATAACGACACGGTGATGAAGAAAGTGGTGAGGGAATGTGCGGATAAGTATGGATTCGCGTACGATTCGCTGAAAAAATCGGTCGAAGATTTGGGTGCCGAAATGTACGATTATGCCTACTTGCATGTTATGGCTGCTGAGGATTATCCAAACGCATGTCGTGATGCTTTTAAGAGGTACCCTGGATTAGTTTATCCGCCGGAGATTGCTGTTAGGGAGGATGGACTGAAGCGTATCTGTGACGTCGTTTTGGGGATTATCGATAATCTTGGTTTTTGATGATGATAATGGTGTCATTGTAAGAGTTATGATGCCGTTTTTTCGTTTTTTGTTTTCTTTGCTGTCTTTAATTTCCGAATTGCACTATCGAAAATTGTGAAATGTTGATTCAATTAAGGATCAACTAAGATACGAGGAAGGATGAAAATTTGATGTTTTTCTTTTTTTTTAGAATAAGAATATTCCCCACAGAATTCACCCTCTCAAAGTTTGTACTTGTTTTATAGATAGGTACTTGGTAGATGCTGCCAAACAAAAACACATATTTCAGTGACATAATTTACAAGCTTAGCCGAATTTCGAAAAAAAAAAAAAAAAATCAAACCTAAAAACGAATCCGTAATTTGCCGATTAAAGTAAGATTATTTTAAAGATTTCAGGCAAAATTGATGAGTTGATAAGAAGACACAATCATATCTCCAATTATATACATCCGTGGAGGTAAAAGCATTATCATAAATTTGTAACGGATGATTCGGTACAATTTCTGGAAAAAGTCGAAAGATCTAAACAGAAAAATCCCAAACAAAAAGGTGGTAATACGAAACAATGCGTAACTTACATAGAAGAGGAGATAGTAAATTTAATCAATAGCCATGGGGGTAATGCGCCTCTTAGCGGGCTTACTCGGAGGTTCTCTTGTACTTGGTGAAGAAGCTTCTTCACCATCCTTGTTATTCTCACCCTTCTCCTTTTCGGAATTTTCGACTCTTTCTTTTCCACTATCTACATTTGCAGTTTTATTATTCTTGTCGATAGTTTTATTCTCTTCAACAACGTCTGGAAGAACAGGGCTCTTATTTGCATCACTAACGACTTTCTTTTCTTCTGCTAGACAGAAAAGTAATTTCAGAACTATGACATGATTTAACGGAGTAGTTGTGTGGAAAACGTTAACTTACCTGGTATAGGCAAACCGAGTTCTTGATTATCGAATTCAAGGAGTGTGCAGTAACCGTCTTGAGAGGATAAAGCCAAATAATTACCAGCAGGTGACCTACATTAAAAGAATCTTGGAGTCTTGGGTTTTGGCCAAAGAAAAAAAAAACGGAAAGAAAAAGAAAAATCTAGGCAGGCTCGGTACAGGCATTGTCGAAGAATATTTCCTAAGTATGGGAAAGATATTACCATGCAATGTCTGTTATGGCTGCATAATGAACTCCAGCTGCAATTACTATAGGTTGAACGCTCTCCGTGTCATAGATGTATAAGGAGTTCAAAGTGGCCACCGCAAATATAAGGCGATATGGTAGCTTGAAAAATGAAGCTGTATAAAAAAAAATGGAAGACGTCGTGTCATCAAACTTGGCAGGGTTATTACGTGAAAGAATGAAATAAAATTTAACGAAGGTTGTTACATTCGTTTGTTCCCAACAAATGAAATCTTTGGGGGCAAAAGCGTACTGCTACAATTGGTTTGCTGGCACCAGGAAGCATAAGAGCAGGCCTGCTCTTAAACACAAAAAATATGCATGAATATAGAAACATAGAAACTTAAAGAGGTTTTAGCTAAGCGATTCTTGCCTAGAAAGATCTTTTCTTGAGAAAATATAAGCGGTGTTGACAGGTTCAGAAGTAGGCGTACTTTTGTGAGAACCTGAAATAGTGCATAACATGCTTGAATTCAGAATTCTACTCAACACACACGATATAGTCGATTGGACATATAAAAAAAGGTTAAAATACCTGCAGGAACAAGTAGAAAAGATCCATCAGGTGACCAGGCTAATCTTCGAAAGAAAGATGGCAGCGTCTCGTCGTGGAAAAGATGGCTTCTAATTGACTGAAATCACAAAGCACAACACAACTGGTTATAGACGTGTCTCCCGTTATGCGTGTGCAATGGAAATTTATAAAAGATACATCTTCATTTTAAAACCTTGGATTCATCGGTCATCTGTGATTCAGCCTTCGAGACGACATGTTGACAAACATAGTTCGTCTTCTCAACACCTTTCGTCTTAGTATGCTTGTTAATATAAATGCGACAAGTTCTGTCTGAACTGAATGATGCAGCATATTTCTCCAACGGGTCCCATGCTACACCTTGAACGTAATGAAAATGTCCGTCCAGAATTTGGTGTACGGAACCTGAATACAAGTAAGGGTTCAATTGTTGATTTAAAATTATAACTTCAATGGCAGCAGCATTTAACTCGGTACTAATCGACATACATTTGTTAGCATCCCATATGATGCATAAGTTATCAACTGAACCAGAAATGATATATGCCCCGTCACTAGACCACTGAAGATCTAGTACATCCTTGCGATGAAATCTGAAAGTAACTCGCCTCATGAATATATGGAAAAGGATCAATAGAATTTCCATACTTGATATAAATGAAAATAAATACACTACATACTTACACCAATGACTTGAGGAATTTCCATACTTCACCGGCATCAGTAGTATGTGATTTCCACAAAATCAGCTCGCCACCTGCAAAAACGACGTCTTTCTAAAATTGGAAAAAAAACGTGAAATTTATCCTATATCTGTTTTTTTAACCTTAGGCATTTGGCAACGAAAACAAACTTGGTAATGACTAGTTAACGAAGATCGCTTACCATCAGCACCAGAGGCAAGCTGCTCTCCTGCAATTTTAGAAGAAGTCACACTTTTATAAAGATAGAATAATAGAATACAATCATCTAGAGATAACGAAAAATTCAAGTGACTCAGGTAAATTGAACAGAAGCCTCCACTTCATCGCTATCAGATTTGGCTACATTAGTCATTTCCACTCAGCACATTCAAAAGAGAGAAAAAAAAAAATCAAATTCCTCGGTAATCACCCGACTCAATTAATAGTAAGTCCTCATACTCAGGTTCACCGCTAGTACCAGGTTGGCTGATAATTACTAGCAAGCGCAACTACTGCCCTTGGTTTATGGTGACATATCTAGAGGCACCACTAAAGCAAAATCACTAGAGGTTCGACTTTCTTAGTCTCTCTGTATTTTTCTTGACAGCCTATTTACATTAACATTCGCATGTAAGCCAAATCTCCTTCGAACAATCAAGAAATGAATGCGGTGAATGCCTCTGCCAATATGACGAGCACAATAGCAAGATATGTGCAGCATAAATGGATCTTATATACATTCATATTAATAGTTAACCACGAAACAAATCTATAAATGCCTAAACCAGTATCATACTAGTTGCCTTAATCCAGTGACACTAAAAATTACAATCGCAGCAAGTTGTTTTAAGACACAAAATAAAATTATCTAACTTCATTAGAGAAAATTCCAGTCTTAGAAAACTACCAAAGGACTTTAGAACATGAAAACCACAAGCAAAACAACGAAGCAAGAATCTAAAGTTATTTGTGAAGTCCTGCGAACCAGATACGAGATCATGTTTAGAACCAGAAATTCAATTTCTCGAAAAGTAAGTGCTGATTTTTGTATGAAAATAATACCACTATCAAAGTAAAGTTAGTTGCATAACGGAAACAGGAAGGAGAACTTGGTATTGAAAGATAAAATGAAAGGAAAACTTACCCGAAGGAGAAAAGCGAAGTGTATTTACAGCGGAACTATGGTAAGAAAGATTGCTATGATAAGTAACTCCAGGTGCCTTCTTTTGATCTATCCCGGAAACTGTTGCCCACAGCTGTACATACATTTTTATTCAGAGATCAAATCGACTCCCCCGTAATATGTGGACTACCTTCAAATATTACTCAATTTCGCAATCAAATAAAACATATTTCATTGTTTCTGTTCGAAATTGGTTAGATTTGTTGGCTGAAACAGGCAAACCAACAATTACGGAAACTTCAAAAAAAAAAAAAGAAAAAAGCCCTATGATTATTACACATGAAACCAGAATGAAACCCAGCACTAAAATGCCAAAGAAACAATTAAAACTATAAAATTGCAAGTTCGCAGTACAGTTACTAAATTTCGCGTCGAACAACTTCGGCAATTAAGGACACAATTGCAAAAAAAAAATTAATTAAGAGATGGAAAAAAAACCTTAATATCGAAGTCGGCGCCGGCAGTTGCGAGGAGAGCGGAGATCGGATGGAAATCACAGGCGAGTACGGGCTTTGTGTCGTGCCAATTAATCTGAATCGTTCCGCCTTTCATTTCTATTATTCCCCTTCTGCTGCAATTTCACGGTGACGGTGACGGTGGCGGTGATTCAATACCCAAAAAACAAAACGGAACAAGGGTTTGAGCGGTGAAGTGAGTGGGGAGGGTGGACGGGTTTTTGGCGGGAAAATGGAGCCAGCGAGAGAGTGAGTTGCTTAATAAATGTACTATTTTGGCGCTTTGTATCCCTATGAAAAGTTTATTAACATTTTGGACCTTCAAAATACGACGTACATTCATTATTTTCCTCAATATGTAAATAATAATAATAATAATAATAATAATAATAATAATAATAATAATAATAATAATAATAATAATAATAATAATAATAATAATAATAATAATAATAATAATAATAATAATAATAATAATAATAATAATAATAATAATAATAATAATAATAATAATAATAATAATAATAATAATAATAATAATAATAAAGGTGAAACCATTATTTCAATAACAATTTCGGAAGTTATATGTCGAAAAAGAAGCAATTTGTCGAGGTGGCTTTAGTTGCAATTTCAAAATCTGAAGAAATTTTCGGAAGCTATATGTCGAAGTGGGACAAATTTTTCGGTGTTAAAATGTTAAACACATTTTCTGGAGGTTTAATGTAACAACAATTCGATTTTTTTCTTCGCCATATAGCCTCCGAAATCGTATTGTTCAAAACACTTAGAGCATCTCCAACGGGGATATGCTAAAAATTGATTCTAGCTAGTATTGAATAGCGTTTTTAGCATGTTAATTTTCACTCCATTCTCCAACCATATATCATGTATCATATATCAGGTATAGTTTAGTATTCTATTATATATATATATATATATATATATATATATATATATATATATATATATATATATATATATATACACACACAATGAATATTTGTAAGCAGCCCCAGCCCCTACAAAATTTTACTTTCTCAGCATTTGGTTCCTGCTATAGACAGAAATTACAACAGTATAGATTGAAGTTTCATCTAGGTACAACAAAAAGAAACACTACATTATTATCCCTTTCTTTGATTTTCTCCACAAGACCTTTGTCTTGTCAGTAGTATACACACACATCTCTTCAAAACTTCTCTTTCCGACTCCAAAATGATTTAACAGTGATTAACTCGACAAACGACGCAATATAAAACCTCTACATCTGCTTTCACTACTAATCAGGTTCAGTAAAGTCGAGCAAATACGAAAGGAGTATTTCGTTCCAAATATCAGGTAGTCCAGGTAAACACCAATGGCTACAATCAGATAGAGACGGGCGGTCGCTCCATGTGCCAACATGTGCGTCGCTTCGAGATGCTGACATCGGAGTTATATGAACAACTGTAACTGGAACCATCATATTTTTTACCACATCCAATACAATATCCGAATAAGGGCTGATGATATCCTTTCCTTTGATTTCCAAAAGTGGTAATTTAGTCACGTTGCATTGCCTTAGCGTTAGGTTCCTGATACAAAAAAAAAAAAAAAAAAAAAACAAAAACATTTATTAAATGGTATTCAAAGAAAAATGTCAAATTTAATAAGAATTATTTTCTCGAATTTTCGGACAGATATATATGTATACCTCCAGTGAGATGGTTCGAATGTTCGGAAAAAGACGCGGGTTTTTTCTGGATTAATGGTACTGTCAACCCAAGATGCCCATGTTTGTAAGGCAGTTCTAAAGGCTGTTGTAATTGACATTCCGAGTTGTAGTGATCTGCCGACCTGGAAATAGCATCCCCTGTCGAGACATTTGGAATTCAATTTACGTGCATTTCAATTCCATGAGCAGAGTAAAAAGAAATAACCACTATTTACTTGCATATCATCTAGTCGAAAAAATGACCACTATTTATGAATATTCCAGTACTGTTCTTATACACAAGTTACGTTTTTCGTTAACGACACTAGTAAGCATTCCAATAGAGTAAAAATCACCTGCAACAGTTTCCTCCAAAACGAAAAATAAGAACCAAGAAGAAACTTCATGAGATAGATCTTTCATCACATACTCATTGATAAACAAAAATTATTAGCTCTTATATGAATAAATTATTTGAGAGAAGCCGGTTCGGGATGCAGAGTGTCAATGGATGAATTTCAACTTATTTTTCTGAATTTCGAGAATAACGAGAATTAAGACTAAGACGAACTTCGTAAACAAGAAACTGATCAACGTTTCTTAGTTTTGTTAATACAAGTCCTTCACCATCAAGAAGATGGGAAATTCACAGTTTCGGAGTACTATGTTTCCATCCAATACAAACCCTAAGAAATTGACAAGGTAATGATATACTCGATGGACACATTTAATTAAAATGCAGAGCAAATGAATGTTGGTAAAACGCAAGTTTCAGAGGAGCACATTTCATACACTACTTCACTCACTCAATCATATAAAAAAAAACATAGATTAACTTTCAAAGAAAATTTTGAAAACAAAGAGAGATAACAGCACTTACGTCCCGAAAATCTTCCCCGGGACCCACCATTGACCTGAATTAAAAATCAGAACATCCGAGTCGATCCACTCTTCGCTGATATCATCCAATTTATCCAATCTAAGCGTCGATCTAACTATCCTTGGTACATTTTCCGGTGCCCAATTGTGCTGCACAAGGTAAACCGACCGATAAAATTCGATAGTGAAATTAAACTCACCGAACCTCACTCCCAAGAACCTTATCTGCTTAGTTATCACATTCCCATTCACTTCATAAACACTCGTCTTATCTTCGACACCTGTCATCAACAAACATATCAAAGATTCCCACTGAGTTCTACTCATCGAGTCGCCCACAAAAACAACCCTTTTATCCCGAAGCATTTCCAGAACAAGCTCAACATTAAATCTCGGAACATTGCAATCTTTCGGCTTCCACCTCCACTTTAGATAATCCTGGTCAACACGCCCGTTGACCAAGCAATTGAATCCTTGCTCTACGAAAGGACAATCCGAGGAATTGTACAAGGGGTAGTAACTACTATTCTCCTCCACAACCCAATTCCCGTCGTACATATCGCACTTTTTCGAGGTGAGGAATCGGTAATCGTGGTCTTGGAACGCGTGTGTGAGATTGGGCAGGACGTACAAGTACCCACAACCCGTGGCAAGCAAGAACGAAATGGAGGATCCGATTACGATTAGGGCACGAAATAACCACGAAATGCAATTCTTACGACTCAATCTTGGGCTGCTAATTTGTGCAGCCCTGTGTTTGAAGGAGATACTTCTATTGAGACTAGTCATCCAGCAATGAAGTTGGCAAAAGTAACTGCCACAATAGGAATCAAGATTATCACCATTAAAACGGTTATTACGAGAAACCCAATCGGGAATCTTGTAGCCATTAGATAAAAATCAATCAATTAACTAACCAGCCAACCAACCGAAAAAACGGATTAAAATCATACCCAAATCACAATATCACTGCGGACATTTATCAAACACCTTCAGTTCATGCGATTGTAAATGATTTCGTCGAGTCCTTTTAACACTTGTACCATTACCCAATCGGAAAACACTACATTTCAAACACCGAATCTCATCGTCGTCGGCGCGTTTCAACAAGAACCAACAAAAAAAAAAAAGAAAAAAAAAAACCAGTTCAGAAAAACAAATGGGAATCCCGTAAAATCGAGCCCGCATGCAGAGAAGAAACTATTTTTTACTTGAATCTCTAATCAAATATGAGGAATAACAAGATCAGAGATTATGCATGGATGAATGCAATTATGCGGAAAAAAGTAGAAATCGAGATTAATTGAGGAATGGGAGCTGAGATTTGAGAATTCCTCAAAGGTGGAAATCGAGAGAGTGGGTGGGATTTGGGAAAGCAACAAAAAAGAAACATAAAAAAAATATGCAGCCTGCAGAGCGCAGAGCACTACGTGGTGGATTGCTAATTGCAGAGCGGTTTGCTGTGTAAATTGTAGTGATTGTGGAGGGTAATTTGGTCAATTTCTCCTCCTCTAGTTTTGAATTACGCCTTGTAGCGGTTGAGAGTTTTGATGTGATAACAAACGATTCGATTTTACCTAACTAGTTAACTACTAACTAGTACGTGTGAGAAAAAAAACCGAAAAATCGAAAACTCGAACCGAAAAACAGAGTCGTTCCAAATTGTACTGAATAACAAACTGAATGTACGGTTTTTTATTTTTGAAATACCGAATTATTCGGTTCGGTATGGTGGAAAGGGTAAATTCCCGAACCGAACCGAATATATAAAATGACCGTAATATATGTTTTTTACCCTAATTTTTACTTAATATCTTTCAATTACTTATCTCATTCTAAGAATTGTTCATAAATTGCGACATCATAATTTATTTATTTAGTAACTAAAATTTTATGTGAGTTCATAGTTTAATAATGTGGTTGATGAAAATAGGAAAAAAAAAATGAAGCATAATACATCATATAAATTACGTTACGTCCTATGGAATTAAATATTTCATATATTCATTACATTACTTAGTTGTGAAAGAAATTGAAGAAATTGTAATTAGATTATTTTGTTTATATAACTTGAATATATAGTTACTCTTGAACCGAAAAATTGCCGAAATTGAACTGAAACCGAAAGAAACTAAACCGATGAAAATCGACATATATGGTTTTTAATTTTACAAAAACCAATATATTCGCTTTATGTTCGGTTTTAGCCAAAAACCGAACCAAACCGACATGTGTCTTAATCAAATTACTATATAAAATAATCTGTAACATGATTTAGAGACTCAATATTATAGAGCCCTCCATTGTGGATTTTTTTTTAGAGAGTGTAAAATTCTACCAGATCTTCATATGGTCTCCATAACAGAATTTGGAGATCCAATTTTAGAGACTTTAATAAAAAAAATATATAAAAAAAATCATCACCACGAGAGATCCTAGAGAGTCTCTAAAATAGAAATTATACCTAAAGTTTCTAAGGACACCCCCTATGGAGGCTCCAAACTCCATTGTGCTACAAATTATAGAACTTCTGAAAAAAAAAAAAAAAAAAAAAAAAAAAACCAACAAGGGTTCTAGTTTGTAAATTTAGAGACTTTCACAAAATTCCTAATTTTTTTCCTAAATATCTGATTTCATTTGAAGAGCCTCAACTTGCTGGGTTTCACATTAAAGGACTCCATAATTCAGAAATCCATAAACCAATCTGATATGCCTAATTGGCCCAACCCAATGGGCCTACAAATTATTTACCTACTGGGCCATGAGCCCAATATCGAAGACCACTATCACCGAGGCCCAATCACCTTCAAGCAAGGTTTGCGCCCGACAATCTCAACTAAGCTATAAATACACATTTGAACTCATTCCATAAGGTACGTCATATTAACTGAGCAATACTATAATATGTATTCTCTGGACTATTTTTATGATCAGCACGTCTGACTTGAGTGTCGGCGGGGTTTCTGCCGGATCAACCCCCGGCTTAGTTCATGTGTGCTCATTTTGCAGGGACCTCAGGATTATCAAGTTGTCAAGCTACTGATCTGCTTTGCTCTCCCAGCTCGTTTTTTACACTACATCAGGTGATCTAACTAATTAGCATCATCACAATCAATAAATTTTGAACTAATATATAAAATATGGGCACCCTGACCCGACTGGTAAATAAATAAATAAATATATATATATATATATATATATATATATATATATATATATATATATATATATATATATATATATATATATATATATCAGCCAAGAAAAATGGCCGTCGGGCTTGCAACGGTAAGATAATATATGTAAAAAAACAAAAAATATAAATACCTGAGTAAGCTTCATCTTTTTCATTCACTTCTTCAAAACCTTCTTCAATTTCAGTGAGTTAAATCTTTTTTTTTTTTTTTGTGTATCAATGGCTTGCAGATAATTATTGAGAGAGAGGGTGGGTTGTTGAAGTTGAATGACATTAGACGGGATGAACAACATACCGACGTTTAGGGCTAGAATTTTTTAGCTCTGTTTTCTTTTCTTCTTCTGATAAATCGATGCGTGAAGGTTGGGGATGGCGGTTGGATTTACTGCATTAATTTGAGCATTGGTGGGTGGGTTGTGTGTGATTAATTAGGTTTAGCATAGTTTAGTTTTGGAGAGAATGTTGAGTGGGTTGCGTGGGTGGTGGTGGATTAACCATTTTTTAAGTTTAGTTTAGTTTTTTTTCTTTCTTTCCTTTTATTTAGGTTTTAGGAGAGTTCATTTTATATTTAAAATTATATTATATTTATTTTTTAATATGGAACCTATAATTGAGCTAATATTTTCCTTCTTATTTGTTTTCATTACTTTATTTTTTTATAGGAATGGAGGATGCCAAAGGAAATACAAGGGGTCGTAATTTTTCACCCGAAGAGGATATTGTTAAGTGTATATTTTTACACTTTATCATATCTTTTTATTTGAGCTTTTGGTGTGTTTTAACGATAATTGGTGCTTAAAAAGTTGATTTATTGTATTTTAGGTACAAATTGAAGAATTGGAAAAGTATGGGGTCAAAACTGCAATTTTGGCGAAAATATGGGTCAAAAGTGAAAATATCAAAATTCAGAAGATTTAAAGCTGAGACCCCGTCCAAGTTTTAGTTCAAATTGTGAGACCCCCGTCCGAGACTCCGAAGTTGCGCAGTAAAGGAATTTTAATTGCATAAGGAAACTGCCTTCTTCCACAAGTTCTTCACCCTATATAAGACCAAGCCAAGCACACAATTAGGGATCTTTTTACGCAATTTCAAGAGCAACAAAGCAATAACGAAGACGAAGAATTCGAAGACTCTAAGCATAGATTTATCGTTTATGACTTATTTTATTTGCGTTTTTCCTTTAATCATGAGTAGCTAAATTATTTATTTTTAGGATTTTATTTGGAACCCTATGTGGGATTTATGAACCCTTTTCTATAATTTTATGCAAGTTTTAATTCCGGATTATTTCTTCTACTTGTTTTATTAAGTGCATGAATTTGATCACCTTATGTGCTTTTATGTTATTGTTAATCGCATGAATCGGAAGATCGGGTTAATAATTAGAACTGTGGTAGAAGAGCCTTTGTGGTATTAACATAGGAATATAGTTAATCTCTTAGGTAGCCATTATTGAGATTTGTGCTTAATGCTGTGTTCTAGAATTAATTGCATAGGAATATAGTAATTGAATCTAGAGTATTAGAATCGTAATACACGCGGAAGCGGGTTATGATTATTTTAGCATCTCAGGTTAATAATCCGGGTTAATAACTTGCATAATTGAAGGAATTGGGGGAATAATAATCACATAGGGGGAAGAATAAAATCCTAGGCTTGTCTACTTTGATTAATCTTCGTGTTTAAATTACTTTCTTGTTTTCGCGTGCTTTTTAGTTTAGTTTAATTTAGTTTATTCTCTCAAAACTCGATTGTGTAGGGTGGGCTTGATAATAATTGGTAGAATTTAGCGTCTAGGATTAAGTAATTAAATATTCCCTGTGGGTTCGATATCCGGACTTAATTGTCCACTATATTACTTGTACGATACGTGCACTTGCGTGTAGGTTTTTCGACCAACAAGTTTTTGGCGCCGTTGCCGGGGAATATTTTAATTATTTATTTTTATTCTAGCTCTATATTTGAACAATTTTCACGATTCACCCATTTAATTTTTGTTTTATTTTATTTTTATTTTTAGGTACTGTGTATGCGTAGGAGACTCGATCTTGCTAGAGAACCGTTTGATCCCGAAATCGAACGTACTTTTCGAGCGGCTAGGAGACTTTAACGCGCAAACAATATAATGGAGGACGAAGAACGCAGGGCAGCGGATAATTTACTCCGGAGCCAACGACCCACCCCCTCAACTTCCAGTACAACCAACAGTTGGGCCACGGGCACTTTAAGATTACATAATCCCGACTCATGACGGATTCCGCCCGAGCATCCAA